GTGAGCTCTGGACACGGCCGCCTCATTACCTGCCCAGCCGTTACTGCGCTGGCGTAGATGGTGGCTTTAGTGCGGTCAGGCGGTCCGTGTGCATTTCTCCCTTTTTTGGGAGCTTTGTTTTCAGATCTGCCTCCGGTTCTCAGTTAATAACTGTCTCTCCTTCTCCCAGTTCCACAGTGGGGGGCACGGCATGTGTGTGCAGTGGGGTGCAGGAGTCTGGGAGAGGGGACACACGTGCTCTGTCCCCTGTCTCTGCTTCAGTGCCCTCCCCCCCCCCAGAGACCAGCCTGTACGGTCTCGTCCCACCAGAGCCGAGTCCAGACCAACCCGGAGCCCTAGCTAACTAGTTTCCCTGGCACTCCGACAGGAAGAGCTCTGCTCTTCCGGAGGCCGTGTGCGGCTGGCGCAGAAGTGTTGTTCCAGCCACCCGGTTCCCCCTCTCCAGTGGGACACGTTCCTCCCTCGCGCACAACGGCACGGAGCTTCCCGGAACGGTTTGCACCGCGAGCCGGGTTTATACGCTCCGGGTAGAGAGGGAGAGAAGAGGCGAGCCGCCTCTGTGTCAGATCAGGCTTTGATCTGGAAGGAGAAAAACGCGCTGTTCCTGTTCCGAGAGGGCATCGCAGGGCGAGGGGAGGAGCCAGCCACTGATGGGGCTTCCTGCCGTCCCGTCAGCGCACACATCTGTGGCCCCGGGAAGGGGGGCGCAGTTACGGGGGGCTTGAATCGGCCGGGCCGTCCCGACGGGGGCGGCTCGCCTCGCAGAGGGGGCTGGTGAGGAGCAGCCCGTGCCCCTCGCAGCTGCCAGACACCTGCTCGGCCCCCCAGGGGCTGCAGCACGGACACCGGCGTCCAGGCCCGGCCCCTGGGGGGCCCCAGGAGGGGCTCCTCCATCTCCTGCTGCCTGCGGGGTCTCCGAGGGGGGGGCTGGAAATTCGCTGCCGTCCCGGGAGTTAGCCTCACACGCACGCGGAAGTCATTTCTTCGAGTCGGAGAAAGTTCAGTGTCCTGCCACGTTGCCGGGCACTGGGAGAGCTGGGAAAGTTGAGTGGTGCAAATGGGCAGTAGTAGCAGTGTAGGTAAGAGCAGGAGAGACGGGGTGTTTTGTGTGTCCTTTGACCCAGGGAGAGCTTCGCGAGATGGGCAGGCCTTTCAGGAACGCGGAGCCGAGGTTCCCTGGGGCAAATGTTGTGGGAGGCGGCCCCTGTCGTGCGGAGATGTGTGCCGGCTTTCTTTCCTTGCAGAATGACCGGTCAGATGTTCTGTGAAGTCAGCCGTGTGCCCGAGGTTTGTGGAGTTATCCCTTCAGCAGGGCACGGCTGTCTTGTTAGAGTCCTCTGTGGGCTATGGCAGGGCCGGTGTTGTGTAATAGCTGGGCTTTACCAGCAGAAAGTTAGGAACAAACAGGTTTCCTGGCGTTCCACAGACAGGGAGCAGCGCAGCAGGAAGTGGCTAATCTCTTGAGCTGGCGGTGAACAGGCCCGGGTGAGTCATGGCCTGTGGGCTGCTCTTTGTGCAGGGTGACTCACCGATTAGTTCCTGGTGCTGCACGAGTTTGCCTCCCGAGTGCCTCTGTGTACAAACAGGCCCGCGCAGACCCGATTCCCGGGCGTGCGGCCCGAGCTCCCGAGACCGCGGCGGGCCGCGCGGCTGAGCTGGAGAAGGACAGCGGGGATCTGAACCTGTGGGCTCCGTCCTCAATCACAGAGGCCTGCGGCCGAGCGGGTCCAATCAGCAGGCAGGAACGATGCTGTCCTAACGCAAGAGCAGCACACGTGCCGGTGTTCAAGTGAAGAGTGAAATATGTTGTCGAACAAAGTCCCAGGCACCGAAAAGTGGCTCAGGACGAAGGGACTGGTGCAGAAATAATTCCGATTTTTTAAACAAAGCACCAGAATGGGATTTCTGTTTTCATATCCTCAGATATATTTTGAGGTTAGCTATTTTGGCAATAGCAGTCGTGACAGGGATTGTGCAGCTGAGAGGAATGAGATAGTTTCACCACTGTCACCCCTGAAGTATGTGGAGGAAGACCCCCTTTTTCCAGGTGACTGCTGGGGGTCTTTGCACACCCTTTCTCTCGACGCGAGACACGGGTTAAAGTTCGGGAGTTGCCGTGCCGAGTTTGGCCCACAGGGGCACGAGGGAAGAAGCCCTCAGTCAGGGCTCGAGGGTTGGCACTGTGCAGAGACTCGGGCCAGAAGCCGCCCTCACACATACTGGCTTTGCCTGAGACGCAGACACTCACACAGCCCCCTGTGAGCATTCAGACACTGGGTTAGTGGGGTCATTACACCGCCCTGCCACCGGGGGCGGTCCACCACACCGTAGTTTGTTTTTCCAGCAGCTCCTGAAATCTGGCAGGGCTGGACACGCGTTGCTCAATAATGCATTTCTCAGTCTCCCTGGCTCGAGGTCTTAAAAGGGATTAGTATTCAGATTCTTCCTCTCCCAAGCTCAACACCACAATCCTGAGGGATCTCTCCCCAGACTCGACTCCGTAATCTGTCTGCGTTCTGAGGCCCAAATAAACAGTTTTAAGGGCGGCAGAGATTTCTGAGCAGTACCTGCCAGCAAGGTCAGCGGGCGGCTCTGTCCCCGTCTGTGTGAGAAACCTTTGAGACGGGGAGACAAAGCCCTTGTTCAGGAATGCCAGCAGACTGCCAGGGGCTTAGTCTGTAAGGTGCCAGGCTTCACAGTCTGTGACAGGTTGAGCCAAAGAGATGTGTTTTCCCAGGGCTTGTGCGCTGGGTGTCGCAGGTTTTAGCACAATTCCAGCCCGACAGCAGACCACCGTCTGGAGAGTGATATCACACTGGGGTAGACCATACCTTTTCGGACAATGGGAGCACTTTCGCTTTTACTTTTAGCGTAGTAAATTTGAGTAAATCACGTATTTCTGAGCCTACAGGGAGAAACCAGAACGGAGCTAGGATTTTTGTGCCTCTCCTTCTGGAAAGTCCGGTGTGAGCAGCTGAGATTTTGTGGCCTTTTCAGAACCCGTCATCCCCTACCTGATGGACCTGTTATGTTAGTAACTTATCTCAGCGTCACTTTGTTCAGGTAGAACGCTTGTGCCTAAAAGCTGGGGGAGTTGGAAAAGAGGGGTTACAGAGAGTTCACTTGAAGATGCTTTTTAAAAAAAATGACATTTATTACTAATCTCATAAGAAGGCAGACAGACCACCAGTAACTTCTTGCTGAACTTCATTGTACATGTACGTTTACTTCTGGAGTAGGAAGCAAAATGAATTGCATAGTATTTTAAACTGGTGTTAGTCCTTGACGTCGGAGTGAAACTTAAAGGGCTTTGGATGCTCTCCTCTTGGAGCTCGCAGTAGAAGGGGAGCTGTGCCTGGGTTAGCGTGCACAAAAATGTGGGCCAGCCAGAATTTCCCGTAGCGCGGAGACAGGTGTGGGGCGCCTGTCACGGGGAAGAGGGGCAGAAGCAGCGATGCGGGCTGAGGCATGAGGGTGGGAGAGGGGGGGTGGCGAGTGGCGGCAGAGGTGGGGAACAGAAGGAAGGTTCCCCCCTGGTCCGTCTGGTACTTAATAGTCGACTGATTCAAAGACCTCATCCACACCCGGAACAGGCTCCACACCCGATACGTTGTGTTTCTTTTCTTCTCTTTTCAGCAGGGAATAAACCTTTACTTGTTCCTTTGCTAGGGTATGATTTACCTTTGTGTAAAACAGTGCCTCCTGTCCTGATTGGAGGGTCCCATTCCACTGTTGCTTCCTATATGCCCAGTTATTGGCTTCAACAACAGGGCTGGGCAGCTTGTTCCACACTCCCACCACCCTTTGTGTGAAGTAGTGCTGCCCCTACCCCCGTCCTGATTGAAGCACTTTCTTGATGTATGCGAGGCTATCATTTACCTGTGCGTAAAGCAGTGCCCCCTGTCCTGATTGGAGGGTTTCATCCTGCTGTTGCTTGATATGTGCTCGGTTATTGGCTTCAATCACAGGGCTGGGCAGCTTGTTCCACACTCCCACCACCCTCAGTGTCCCCCCTGACCTCGTGCCGTCCTGATGAGAGATTCTCATCGTCATAAGAAGCCAGGGTTGTGTCCCTCAGGTCTCGTTGGCTGTTTGAACTCAGAAACAGAGGAGGAGGTGGCCGCCTGTCTCATTGTGCTGTGAAGGGAGATGTGTTGGAATTAAAATCTGAACCCTATAGTGTAACACACCATTTATTTCTTTGTTGCCAAAAAATAAATAAGAGCCATAACCAGAACAGTTTGCTCGGTGGTGCCACGGCAGATTGGAATGATTCAGTTAATTCCCATCTTTAAAAAACAAATGTCAGTCATTTTTGCTCGGTCTCTAATGAAGCTGTAATGAGGTAATAATGAAGCTGCCACAAACTGATGTAACGCCTTTGAGCAACAAGATGAACGTTTTTTGTGTGTCCGTCAGACCTTCAGAAAATGGCCGCAGGACGTGTCTGGAGAGAGTAACCCTTTAGTCTGAGCCGCGCTGACAGAAATGTTTTTGTGGTGTCTAAATGTTTTCAACGATCAAAAACGGAAAAACGGAAAGCTGCTCTCCGATTGTGCAGGTTCATCGGTTGCAGTCTTTTCAGTTGACCTGTTGACCTACTGGACCAGCATCTTACTGCTCTGTACAAATCTTGTCTCGTATGAGCCCAGTGGAATATTTAAATCTAAGTCAATATAATTTTATTTTAGATTGTGCTTTTTTACAGTTGATGTCATCCACCATGAAAAAGGTTTTGCACAGTATGGAAATGTTGGCTGAATGAGAAGGGTTTACATTTATAATTAGACCATCAGAAAGGTCCCAAAACGACGAGAGGAGCCCACTGGGCTATTCCAGCCCCGTTGGGTTGCCAGTGGCTACAAAACCAGAGGGTCTCGCCCAGGTGTGACAGCGTGTCCGGGCAGCACGTTCCACGCCCCCGCCGCCCTGGGTGTAAAGAAAGCCGTTTCCGTGGCCGGGCACTGACGTGGCGTTCCTGCGCCCTCCTCTCTCCGCAGCCACGTCGAGAAGGTCACCACATGGCAGGACCCCCGCAAGGCCATGACGTCGGCCGTGACCCCGATGAGCCTCCACGCCCCGGCCACACCGGCCCCGGTGCAGCAGAGACCCATGGCCCTGTCTCAGCCCAACCTCGGTGAGTGCGTCAGGCGGGGTGGGTGTTTGAAGAGTGCGCAGGAGCTGCGGGGCGGGCCGGGGGGGTGGCTGTGAGCCCCCGGTGGCTCTGCACCCCTCTGGGACTTGGCTGTGGAGCAGCGTGGTTCACAGGCCTGGCAGCAGCTGGCCATAGGAATGGGCTGTAGCTGTTACCCCGCCCGGCGTGGCTTCTCCACTGGCTGCTCCACGCCTCGCTTTTAATTAAATCAGTAATGAGACGACATTTATGGCCCTCATAAAATACAGCCTGGTAGCAATTTGAGGAGAGGGTAATAAAATGTGTTAACTCCAGCGTCGCTGTAATCTTATTCGTTTCTGACCTGATCAGGATGAAACAGCACAGTTTTGTGATTTTAAAACTTCTGTGTTTTCTGGCTTCCAATCAGAACATGTACAGTGTTCCAGTCAGCTACTAATTCATTGTTGCGTCGAATTACAAAATCCGTAGTTAATTATGGTTGAGTTTGTGTTTGAGCATTCTTATTGTCATGATGACTCACTTACCGTTAAATTAGGAAAGCGCCCGGGTGTAGAAACTAACTTAGATTTCTCTTCACACTCGGCTTGAATAGTTTCTCTGAATCTGCTGCTCACTTTGAAGTGGCCAGACCAGTTTTGGGCAAATAGATCAGGACACTAATGATCAGATGTTACTAACGCAGGAAACTTGAATATGATATGACCTTTTCTTACATTTTTTCATAGCCTGACGTTTTGTAACTGGAACAAAACCCTAATACTTGGTCTGGTTTGTCACAGCTGTCTCTCCAGTCAGATATTAAATGGAAGTTTAAGGAAATCCGTGCCATTTGTTTTAGTGGGATATATTTTTGTAATCCCCAAGAACAGTAAACAACAATTACCTTTTCATGAGGGAGACAGTCCCTACTCCCCACGCTAAGAGCTAGAAAAGTTATTTAAGAGGAATCCAGAGAGTCAAAATGCTGGTAAACCTGTTGGAATACATCAGCTACTGCGATGTACGTTATGAGGATCGTTTTTTGACGTTTTGCCACTGAAGGAGGGATTAAAGAAATACTGCCTTGTGGCGTTTGTTTAGCCTTCTTCATCCTTTGTTAATCAGTACAGTAAATGAGGACCAAATGTGTGGCTCGTTAGGCTCTTGATGAAATGGAAAAATGTGTCGTCGGCGCGGTTCGCCAAGAGCATTTGTATGACTGCAGTTGCTGAAAGGCTGAAAAAAACCTTCCAAGAAAACCAGCCCTGAGCAAGCAGGTGCTCGAAATCAAAAGGTTCTTCCAGGGCTGCACAGTGAGGAGAGCTGGTTTTCTTTGCAGTGGTCCTGGGTGTGCGTAGCCGAGAATGAGTAACGTCCTTTTACGTGGTCTGGCTCCGCGGCACGTGACTCAACTGGGATTCCCGTATGTGTGTACCAGTCTACATTTCCTGGTACAGGTCCTGTGTGAATGGAGTCGGTCATCCTGAAATAAAGGACACGTCCACCGCACTGACAGAAGCATGCGATCGCCGAACAACTGTTTCAGAAGAATTGGACAGAGCCCCATGCTCCTCCCTGTCTCTCGCCTACAGCCCGGACTGAGTTGGCACTCTGGCATACCAGAACAGAGAGAGCTTTTTTTCAAATTCTTGTTCCAGAATATAGAGAAACCCCCCACCTCCAGGACTGCTTTTGCATTCAGATTTGCTGTTTAAATGTGTCAGTCTACCAAAGTATAAAGAAAATATTGCATCGCCCATTTTATCAAACCATGTTAATTTCGTGCAACTTACTGCCATCGATCTCAGCTGGCTATCATGCTTAGATCTTTCCTGTGTCGCTGCAGTACACCAGGGTGAGCATGAAGTAAAAAACAGCAGTGCAATGCTGCCAGTGTGCCTGAGCCAGGTCCTCTTGGTTCTGTCTCCTGCTGCAGCAGAACTCTTAAGTGAGTTTTGCTCTTGAAAGGCAAAAGAGCTGCACCTCAGCGTGATTGTGAATTGAAGGCTGGATGCATAAATTAAAGAAACCATATTTTGGGAAGTACCAGTTCTCCTTCAGTCCATGGGGTTTGTTTGGGTGGAAATATATTCGAGAGACGTCTAGGCTTATGGAGGTAATATCATATACTGTGGATGGTTTTAAAAACCAGAAGAAGACAATTTCAGTGTACCAGGCTGCTGAACCTGCCCCCAGCTTGTCAACAATACAGGAGGCCCAGGCGTTGTGGAGGGGAATCTTTTTAATTGGCTGAGCCCTGCAGGGAGCTGTAGCCTCTCTGTGTGGCTGTGCCATCAGAGCTTCACGGTGCATCTGATACAGCCCTCTTATCAGGACTGCAGTGTCAACACAACACACCGCTCCCCACCTCCCCCAGCACAGAAAGGCCGGTTGGAACAATGCTGGAACAGATCCCGAAGCTGTCAAGTAGGGAATTCTATCCGCTGAGGCCTCTGTTGTTCTGAAGGGCGTTTTCCTCTCTTTTACTTTAAAGCGCTCCTTCCCTTGCGTAAGTAAATCTCACTGACGCTGATGTACAGTTTGGCTATGGTACCTGCCTGCTTGTGGTGCAGTAAAGGTTTCTGGTTACAGAATGTCAGAGAGAAGTGCAATGTTTGCGTTTGCAAACCATGGTAAGAGTATTGGAGTTGAGAGGAAGCCTTGGGGGCCACTAGCTTGTTTGTGAGCTGCCTCTGTACATCCTCGGGTAGTTTTGAAAAAGCTTGCTTGACACAGCTCCTAACACTCGGAAGCTGTTCCAGAGCGTTTTCCATTTGGTAAGATATTGGTGCATGTATCGTGACGAGTGTCGTTGCTGAAGAGTGACGAAGTGGTAGCAGTTTTTTGCAAGCTGTCATGCACAGGTGTTCATATACTCTGCTCTCCTGAGATATGCCAGCAGTGACCTGTGAAAAGACTGGGCTTCCTGTTAAAAATAAAATAGTCTTTCCTAATGACTACTGAAAACTGACCTTAGTCTCGGTTCTAGCAAGTTTTCTGGGTCAAATGTGAGTGTAGTGTATTTCAAAATTCTAAAAATGTCGAATTGTGAAGCTCCCGCCTTTTCAAAATGTGATCCTGTCTGCTTGTTCCACATGTCCCAGGAGAGCAGTGCTGCAGGTCTGTTCTTCTGCACATAAAGCTGTAGTGTGGGTCTCACAGTGTCGCACTGCTACAGCCTCGTCTCTCAGGGCATAAAGCAGCTCTTCCACAGCCCATTGTACAGCTGCACAGCCGTGATCCAGTCAGATGGGCCAGGAGCATGATCACCAGGCTCGGCCATCATTCCTGCTGCTCCAGTGCATCCTTCTGTGAACAAGCACAGCGCTGACTTCCTGACTTTTTCAAGTCAATGACGAAAACCCCTCCTGTCTTTGCCGTGTTGTGTCACGACCTGATTAATGTCATCGGTCGTTATCAACCTGGTGCACACTGTGGTAAACACAGTACGGTCAGGCAGAGTCTGCTGGGAAGCAGTGCGGGGGGTTCAGGAAAGAGCTCCTTCGTATGTGATGGCTTTGACATACTCGAAAGGCTCTTGGCTGTTTGCTGACGGGTCCCTCTGATGTTCCTGCTTGAACAGGACAATTGCCTGAAGGCTGGGAACAAGCAGTGACCCCTCAGGGAGAAATTTACTTCATTGACCACAAAACCCAGAGCACGTCCTGGCTTGACCCGCGGGTGGACACACGCCTCAGTAAGTACCCCTGCAGCTCCAGACTGGCACTGTAGCTCCTCCCCCACTAATCCTCTCACCCCAGGGCTCTCCGACGCTGGTTTTCGAGGCCGGCAGGGTTTTGAGTTTTTCATTTCTTTTGGTTCCAGCTGAGCTCCTTTAACGTATTAATTGCTCTAATATTTAAATCATCTCTTGGCAAAAGGCTTTTGCTGTAATCATCACGTGTATTATCCCTCAGGCAGCAGAGTGGGAAAGTGATTTGGAGCACACAGGTGCTGTGTTACTGAGACCTGAGAGACCCCTGCAGGCCGCTGGGATACCTGCTCGGACCCTCGCAGCCCCGGCCTGTGCCGGCGGGCTCTCCGCCGGCGGGCGGGGCTCGTGCAGTGGGGCTGCTTGATTCGGGCCGATTGGGAGCCAGGTGAGCTGGATCAGAGAAGAGCGCGTTGCTGGAGTTCTCAGTCACGACGGATTTCTTTTTCAAGATAACTAGCTCAGCTGTGATCAGATACCCCCTCCCCCCCCCGCCAACTTGTCTTGAGAGCGCTGTGCAGTATTAACGCACGGTTTGAGCTATATTACCGGTGCACGTAATACTCCCACACACACGCCCTGCCCTTTCATGGCTCTGAGATGTATCTAGTGGAGAAGTCGGGATGGTGAAGTTCGTGAGACGGAGGTCTTCCCTGCGGATGAAACCCCCGACCCCCCTGAGGAGAAAGAAACATGCCTGTGTCACCACTGTGCCTGCCCTCTGACGTGGGCCTGTGGCAGCTGACAGGATCCTGTGCACAGGGAGGCTGTGATGAGTGGTGCCAGGCCGGGCCTTGTTTAGACACTGCTGTCCTCCCATCTGTAATAACTGGCCTGTCTGCTGCTCCAGGGTTATCTCCCTGCACAGTAGGTTCAACTGCTCTGGAGAAGACACGCCAGCATCCGCTGCCGGGTAGACTTCTGCAGTCTGGACAGCTTTTTCAGGAGTTTCGTTAAAGCTTTTACCTTCCCCGTAGAAAGAGCACACCTCACAAAAAAAAAATGGCAGACGTTTTGAAGACTTCTAAGCAAATCACTTCCAAGCAAGTCACCACCATCCCACTGTAACAGGATGAGGGCACTGCCTCTGAGCAAGGGAGAAACGATGACGGCCCCTCATGCGATTGGAGCTCGTTGGGAAAGCAGATTTTAAAGAAGAGTGCTTTGTGGTATTGGATGCATTTCCCGTTTCCCCAAGCATGTGATGAGCCCCTGTGGGCTTTAAAGTGTTGCTGGGGGCGAGCGGCGGAGGACAGAAGCAGGTTCCAGTGTGACGAAACCTGGCGGATTTCATTTCTACCAGCGCAGTGGATCCTAAGGCAGCAGTAGCTGGATGTCATGTCGGATTGTGCAGGATTCCCGTTTTGCTGTATGTGGATTGCATTTGACACCAAGTGGGGAGTGAATCGGCCAAACTGTTTTTGAAGGAGAGGGCTTTGCCTTTTCACCAGACGGGTGGTGATTCGTTGGGAGGGGATAAAGTGCTGCTGTAGCCTGTGACGTGCAGCTCTTCAGCAGTTCTGCGTCAGGCAGGGCGGTGGTTTCCAAGACGCCAGCAGTTGATGTTTAGCAAACAAAATGGCGGTCAGGCATTCATTGTGGTTTAAGCAAGAACATTATTTCTCCTTATGCCAACTGCGTTGTTACTGGAATGATGATACCTGTTGAGTTTGTAGTTAATTGGCCAAACAGGAGGAATTGGTGTAAGTGGCTGAGTTGTGATTCAGTTAGTGCAGTTGTGAGAAGAAAACATTCTTTCCCAGGGGCACGCTGTGGTGCAGAAATGCCGGTGCTCCAGATGATAACTGTGTGCAGATTACAACGAAACGAAGTCTGGCGTTAGTCTGGCAGAATGGTTTTTACACAAAGGGGGGGAGTTATGGGCAGGGTCCCCCTTTCCACATGTGATGATCTTGAGGGCACTAGACGCACGCCCATGAAGTTTGGATTTCCTTGGCCAAATGGTTTTCGAGTGTTTTTGCACGTTTCAAGTAGTGTGTTGAGAACCGCCTTTGGCTGGCGGATGAAATCGAGCAGGTTTCTATTCAGGTTCGTAAGGACATGGTTTTGGATAGGTTTTCTGTGTGCGTGGGTCAGGCGTCCAGTTTGTGCCATTAATTTAATGACGTACCAGGGGGTTCCCGCTGGGAAAGAATATACGTCAGATGATGATGATGATGATGGTCCTTCAAAAGGGGAAAGTGTTTTTAAAGAGAAACAGTATTCATACCTCTGCTAGCAAGGAGAAAGAAAGAGCAGTCAGATGGTTTTGCAGTGCTTGTTTTAACAGTAGTGGTTTGCTTTGGAGGTGAATTTATCTTGAATTCTAAGTGTGGAAGAGCTGTAGGGTACTTGAAAGAGTGTATGTAAAAAAACAAAAGTTTTTTTTTTTTAAATATACAAAATATACAAAATCTCTTTTCCTTTTCCTGGAAAAAAAAATCTTAAATGAACACACTGATGAATACATAAGGATTTTAAGCTTTTTTTTTTCTTTCCTGGTAAAGTACGAGCTGTGCTCTTTGAATTACCCCCCAAGATACACGTCTGCATGCTCTACAGTATATAAAGTGCAGACTGCAGCACAGCGCAGCTCTCCACAGACCATGTGTGTGTAAATAATTAGTGTCTCAGGCCCTGCCTTTTCAATCAGAGCATGTTCAGGGAGATCGCTGCTCAGCTGCCCCTGGCTATCTGCGAAAGAAGGAGTCCTGTTTGGAATGTGATACTGCAGACTTTAATGCATTACAGACCTTTTGGAGTGGAAAAAAGTCCTCTTAACTCGAACGCCAGTCTTTGTTTTTGCTTACCCTTTTGGATAGCTGAGGCTGTTTCTGAGAAACAAACGAAACAAGAAACCTTTGCTGGCAGGGCCGGGGTGCTGGCCTGCTCTGCGCGCGGTGTTGTGACTCAGCTGGCGGGTGCTTGTCTGCTCAGCACAAGCATGTGTTTTTCATCATGGCGGGCTGTGACACCCTGCACTAGCCTGCAGGAGGGGGGAGGGGGTGGGATTGAGCTTCAAGTCACTGCGAAAGCTGAGACTGAGGTCTTTCACAGCTGGTCTGCGAAACGCTCAACACTAGAGTAATAGCTGTAACAAGCAGGGCCGTGCGTCTGTCAGGAACAATTTCACCTGGACATCTGGAACTCTGCTAGTAACCTTCGGCACAGGGCCATACCCTTGATCTCGCCACCGTAGACAAATTTCAGGATTTGTGTCAAGAAACAAAACAAACTGCCATGCTATAGTGTACCTAGTGAATGTTTTAATCAAAGACCGTGCCTGGCCTGCCGTCTACATAACAATCGTCTGCAGCCTGCTCAACACTTCCAGAGAGCAGTGGTGTCTGGTGTTCACCTTGTGAACCTGTAATGTAAGTCTTAGCTGCCACTCAAGCCCAGCTTGATAAGCACCCTGTACAATGCCAGACTGGCACAAACGAGGTTTCTGGGCATGGCTGACTCACTCTGGAAGAGGATACATTTTAGCATCAGCCAGAGCATTAATATCCTTCCTGCAATATTTATTTTCCTTGCAACTGACAGATTTTATTTTTTTCCTGATCGGGGAAGAGTGTAGTGGCTTGCTTCGCTGCTTGTGGCTCGCAGTGTTTTTTTCCCCCTTGCATTAGATGCACACCACTGCAAGGTTTCAAAAAATGAAAACAGGAGAAAAACATCCCAAGGCCCAGTTTACTTGTCCTAATAATATGTACATTTGTGTATTCTTCATTATATGTAATCTGAGGGTCACGTTACATTTTAAAATTCTGTTTTACTGCTTATCTCTTCTTTGCGCTTTGGGGGAAAATGCGGCCTTCGCTGGTCTAAACGTACACTGGCTGTGAGCGCAGTGAATCAGGTCTTGCAGTCTTAGCTGTGTGAAGGTCTGCTGTCGAGACTCCTCACTTCAGGCATCCAGACACCTGTGGAGCGTCAGTCCTCTCCTTATCACTGGAGGCCAGATGCACCGCGTTTCCACGTTTGTGCGCATACCCAGAATTCCCAGAGGCAGACGGATGTCGCGGAGAAGTAAAAACAGAAGAGTGTGGTTGAATCAGGGGCGGCGCTGTGGCAGGGCGCCGAGCGCTGCTGCCTCCCAGCTCGTAGGTCCCGGCCTCAGCTCTGGACTGGGTTGCCTTCTGTGTGGAGTCTGCATGTTCCCCGTCGTCGCAAGGGCCTTTGGCACGCGCACATTTTCTCTCACATCTGATGGATGTGCGGCTTGGGACACCACCGGGTGTCTCCGGTTTATCCCCGTGTTTGTACACACAGTAAACACGTGGCCTGGCGACCCCTGGTGGTTGTGTCTGGGATCACAAGTCAGTGATCCCAAAAAAGTCGGATCACAAGTTGGATCCCAAAAAAAAAGCACACTGGACACTGTTGATCCTGTCCAAAGTCCAAAGTCCATCAGTGGCCTTCAGTGTCACTGATAACAATAATTGTTATCAAAATTAAAATGCTGTCACATTTAAAATATATTCTGTTGCTTAGGTTGAAAACAATTTATTCATGTTTTAAGATGTCATATCTCTTCCAGCTGTTTCTCAAGAGAAACCAGGGCATCGGCTTCAACTACATGACTGCGTTATTTGTTCCATACTCCCACAACCCTCTGTGTAAAGCGGTGCCGAGAGGTGTTCCCGTTTTGAGCTGCGCTTCTGTGTAAATGCGCTCCTGCGCGCCCTGCTCCGTGTTCCTCGGCTGACTCCGAGGGAGTCCTCTGGGTCTCTCCTGTCGATGCCTGTGGACTCAGGGCTGTCCGAATCCAGTGGCCCCATCAGCTCCATCCGCCTGTCAGCGTGGGTCACGGGTGCCCCTGTCGGTTTCTCTCCGCAGTGCTGAGCCACCACCCCCAGCACCCCCAGCGCCAGCCGCCGCCGCCCCCGCAGGTGCCCCCCAGCCCGGCCGTGTCCCAGCAGAGTGCCCCGCTGATGACCCTGCCCCACCCCTTGACCACTCAGCAGCAGCACCAGCAGAAGATGCGGCTCCAGAGGATCCAGCTGGAGAGAGAGCGCATCCGGAAGAGACAGGAGGAGCTCATGAGACAGGTACACTGGCTGTGGGGCGCA